GCAATTAATCAAAAGACAGGAGTTCAAAAGAAAATTAGTCTTCCTAACTTTTGGATCAACCAAACAAAAACTACCACAAATTTTACTCAATCACCTTATAATTTAATTAATCAATCAGCATCAAAAGAAAAAAGTAATACAAATAGCACACCTTACTCTCTCAACTCTGCTTAAAAACATAAAGAAAGCAATAACATATAACAACAAAAAATGAAAAAACAAGACAACACATCAGTCAATGTATAAAACACGTAGTTTCATATAATACTCTTTTGAAAGAGCACAGATTTCCTACAAATAAAAATTCTGTCTTTATTGATCTAAATATCAAATATGGTCAATTTTAAAACCTGCCTTTATTGATCTGAATATGAAATATATATATATATATATATATATGTCCATTAATTTAAGTATTTGGCTCAAGAAATGAAAGAAGATAGATAGTGACATATGTATATAGGTCTTTGTTGAATAGGTATAGATAGGAATCATATTAACCTAACCATTTGCCCAATCCATGCTTTGTATTTTATTGCACCTTTGTGATGATTATGACAAACTTCAACAAGGAATCTGGTAATATAGCACGAGGATTAGAGAATAAATAAATACGAGAAAAAATTATAACTTGAAAAGAATATATATATATATATATATATAAGAGAGAGAAGTATTTTTGCAGGCCATCTTTAAGTTTAAGATCTACAAACGTGCAAAACGTCCATTAACGTGAAAACCGATAGTCTATAGGCCATTTGAATCTCATCTAATGAGTTGGAAATTGGAATTAGGGGAAACAAGGCGTCGGGTTCTGATCAGTTCCACATGCATCCGGATCTTTGGGTTAGGCTCTAGGTGAGAAAAGTTGGTCTAGTGAGACCAGATATATTCCCAACAAAATATTATTCCAATTAAGGCTGCAATCGCACTGACCTCTAATTGAATAGTTTATCATGTTAAGTTCGATTCTAATTGAATGACAGCCGAGTTTAAATTTTGAAGCTCAATTAGTATATATTATAAAATATATTTTTATATTTTATATATAATACAAAAATATACTATATATTATAAAAATATATTCGTTTTTGAGATTTCAAGCTGAATTCAAGTTTATCAAATATTTCACTGAACCAAATTTAAACCAAGAAATAAAATTTGAATCAAATTCCAATGGGTTAAGTCCTCTGCAATTCAATGCAGAATTCTGAATGACAGCCCCCCATAGCCTATTAGTAGCCTCCCCCCACTAAATCGCATCCTGTTCGTAAATTTGGCATCAATTCACGGTCAGTCATTCTCCCAATTCTGACCTGGACTGATCAGTCATTCTCCCAATTCCAATTCAAGTTCAAGACTGCAAAAATTCAGCTCTGCTCAGCTCGATTGCACACCTAGTTCTAATTGGTTCCAAAGATGCCCTACAAAATACCATCGATGGTCACATTAACACAACCACACATCGAAAACATCAACCATATGATGAACTAAATTAGATGTTCCTTATGTGCAGTTATGTGAACATGGCCAACAATGTATTTTGATCAATAGATCCGAACTCTTTTGGTATTAAGAGATATGTGAGCATGGATCATATTGAAACCAATTGGTACAAAAATTTGAATTCTTATATATGGTGTTTGTTTGGTAGTAATTTCTCCAAAGCATATCTGTCTTGTTTGATTGAGCTTTTTCAAGCCATTTTAACATCATTTTGATGTTTCTTGTGATGAAAATAATGTTTTCACCTTTTTACCGTAGTAAGTATGATTATACTGTGGGGAGCGCTCTCTGAGGAGCATATCCCAATTTATCAACTTACACCCTAATACGACGATTTTGGGACCGTTACTATGTATAATCTTTATGATGAATACTGCGCATATAATTCGCAGATGACATCAAAGTTAAGCATGAAAGAATTGATGTCAAACAAAACACTACAGCTAAATGATCATACAACATTATTTATTTATGGATATATAGGGATGTTCCCATGCCTCCAATCTTATATTATAATGATTTATCGTACCTCTAGGCTAACCCCTAATTAAACATATTATATATAATGATCGATGCATCATCGTCCTTCTATTTTAATATAACTAACCAAAACAAGCTCTATCTTTAATTAGGTCAATAATGCAATTAAGCATCCCAAAGCATGTGCTATTACTGTTGGTATATAATAATGCTCAACTTTTCCATAAAAATAGAAAAACAAAGAAAGTGGCATGGGGTCGTTCATTGCACGGGTGTCTCTCCCATTAGAGAGTTCGACTATACTGTTGAGAGAATTTTTGGAAATGTCATGTTATCATGAGAATGGATAAATTAGTAATTATACTTTAATAAAAGAATAAAAGCATGGACGTGAATAGGTGAACTGTTCAGAACATGCCCGGCCCAGAAACTGTCTCAACAGCCAAAGTTAATCCGTGTAAGTGCTCAACAAAAACCAAATGAGCGAAAAATCAAATAAAAAATTCAATTAACTGAATTGATCTGTTTGGTATTTTACACAAACTGATGGTATTGATTTGGCTTTCAGTTAACCTAAAAAAGCACTGTTTTCAAAATTGGACCAGACATGAAAAACCGGGAATTGGTCACCTGATCGGTTTTGCTTTCCTCCAAAACTGTTTTATCCCTCAAAACCGTTGATTTTGGTCAGCAAATCGCTGAATTGGCCAGTTAACCGTTCGAACGGTTCGAACGGTTTTGACCGTTTTCTAATTTTTTTTTGTCAAAACGGGCCAGCCGTTCGGGTCAAACGGTCATACCGTTCGAATCAGTAACCGACTCCTGACTAGTTCGGTCATCAGTTCGTTTTTAAAAACCATGTAAAAAAGGGCCAATTATTAACCAAACCAATCAGTATATATATTATATGTTATATTATCTATATTATATTTTCTAATTTTCTATTTATAATATATTAAATAAATTTTATATTATATATATTTATAGTATTTATATCATATATTTATATACCAATTCAATTGTAAAAATGAGCTCATGGTTCGATTAATCCAACTGTGAACACCCCCTTAACTACTGTATTTCCAAGTTCCTAGTAGTGATGATATTGATGTAACTTGATTTGGCACTAAAACCTGAAACATCAGTCGGTCATTAATTGTACACGTAATGTTATTGGTGATTGATTGAATTTCAAATTCCTCAATACATGAAGAAGCGTATATAAGAGTTATTGGTTGCAACTTGCAACTAAACAATCCCAGAGTGGGAGAGAAATAAACCAGCTGCCAGCTATCCTTATTCCCTACCCTCCTCATGATATCCTTGTTTAATCCTCATTTCCACGTTCCAATGCCTCAAAATCTCCTCAATCTTCATTGGTTGTTCCACCAAGTAATCACCACTTATAAACAACAAATTCGATATCAATAACTGTTTAATCGACTTGCCATTTGATTGATTTATTTATATCAAGTCAGTTCGGTTCTGCAGCTGCTAGCTGTTTGGTGCTCGCCGTAGGTGTGTCAATGGATTAGATTTGGACCTATTTGAATCAAAATTAACTAGCGGAGGGGGCCAGTTCGCAGGGGTTGGAATGGAACCGTCGATCCATTAACTTATTGATCCGCTTCTTGGTAAAAAAACGTTAAATTGGTTAATGATTTATTGATTCAAGCGGTTGAATGATTGACCTGTTGACTCGTTCAATAGTTTTTGGCCATTTTTTATTTTTTTAATTAGGAATCATTCAGGTAATCGGTTCCGTTTTATCCTAATCTCAGTTCCTAGCTAAAATCCTTGAATTGGTCAATGACCCATTGACTCGGACAGTTGAACCATTGACCTATTCAATAGTTTTTTGTCGTTTTTTTTTTATTTTTTTTTTATTTTTGTTGTCAAAACGAGTCACCCGTTCGAATCGAACAGTCGAACCATCAACCCGAAAACCAGTGGCCAGAACGGTTATGTTTTCAGGTCGTATGAGTCACATACTCGAATGACCTGAGTGGTCGAACCGTCAACCAATTCCATTTGACCCCAATCCCGGTCCCTGGCAAAAAATCGTTGAATTGATCAACGACCCTTTGACCCGAGTGGTCAAACTATCAACCCATTGATCCGTTCAATGGTTTTTGGTCGTTTTTTATTTTTTTTTTAATTTTTGTTGTTTGAACAGGCCATCCATTCGAACTGGATAATCGAACCGTCGACCCAAAAACCAGTGGCCAAAACGGTTTCATTTTTGAGTCGTATGAGTCACACGCTTGAATGACATAACATCATGGTTTTTAAAACCGACCAGGAAACCGAACCGGTCAGGGGTACGGTTATTGGGCCAACCAGTCCAACCGTTCGAACCGAACGATTGGCCCATTCTGACAAAAAATTTAAAATTAGAAAAATTAAAAACGATGAAAACCATTTAAACGATTCGTTATCTAGTTATTAACAATATTTATAATAACTATTATATATTTATACAATTATATATATATATATATTAACAGGAAATGGATTGCTCACATAAGAATCTACTCGCTTGAATAGATTCCATTTCGCACCCCTATATATATATTCAACGAATTGGAGGAATCAATAAAACATATAGAATTGGATCAGTTCAGATTCAATGACGGTATAAAATATTTATTGGATTGGATTTATATTGTTGTGGGTTGAATTGAACCAATATCCAATCCATGGTACAAACATTGAATTGGATTAGTCCAGAATGATCCAAGTATTCATCGGATTGAATTGGACTTGGTCCATCCATAATGGACTCGTATTTAACTGGATGGAATTGGACCAATATCTGGTCCACTGACAGCCCTATCCGGCCGGTTCTGTAAAAGTGCAAATATGTAAAAAAGCTAAGAGCTGTATGTCAACGGGAGTCAATTTCTATTAATTTCTCTTCATCTTACTTTGATCGTCACAAAAGAAATTATGGTTGGGCATTATTAATTTGTCATTATTCAAGTATTAAAGTATTAACCGACACCTTATCCCATGAACTCTTAATCAAATGATCCAGCATTATTAATTTCAAAAATAACATGCTTTTAGTTTTAGTTACACTTTGGCAACTGACAAATTAAACCATGGATCGTCATTTCAACAACTCAACTCTTCAAGAGTGACGAGGAAGAATTAATTGGGGTATTCATTTAAGATTAAAATTAAAGAAAACATTACTCAATTATCACGACTGTACATTTCTCTTCAGTCTTCACGATCGAAACTTCCGAATTCTCTACCGATCAGTGAGAATGTTGAGGAGGGAAACTCTGGTGTTGATGAGGCTCCGAAACACTCTCTCGCTTGCATTCTCAATCCCTACAATGCAGTCCTCCATAGCCTGCAATCTTCCCAACGTTAGCCGCACTTGTTCCTCTCCTTGTTTCTTCAACTGGCACAGCCTCTCCACTCCCACTTCCCCGAATTCTCGGATTCCCTCCTCTGCAGCCTTCACTTTCTTCGACGATCCCCACAGCATCCAATGTTTTAACGACGAAGAGGACGACGAAGACATCATCCCATTGAAGAGTGAGATGGAAACAGATACAGTGACGTCGTTGACGTCCCTAAAGACTCCAGCTAACTCAACATCGACGTCCGATAAGGAAGCAGCCGGTGGTGGCACCGAAGACCTCCTCCTCCTCCCGATGCATCGGACGACAGATATAAGTTTGGACATCTCCTTGTCCATCCTCTTACGAGCCTTGATGTAAGACGCGATATTGGAATCATCTCTCCTTCTAACAGTCACCTGCACCGCCAAGTGTTGCTCTTTGAGAGCCATGAGAGCGGTTCGAAAGATACTGTAGGCGTCGACGAAACGGAGGAAATCTTCGAGGAGCTTGTCGACCCAATCAGGTCGCCGGCGGAGCGAGTCCTGAGTGCGAGGCAGCTGGAGGAGATCGTCGAGAGAGTCGTGGACGCTCTGGAGGCGATTCAAGCCGTGGGAGAGGGGATGGGGATTAGATGATACCCAGGTTCTCAGCTCATTGATGGCGTCTTTGAGCTGGGAGATGAGGGGGTGGTGTGATCTGCAGGGAAAACTGGTGGATCTGATGTGATAGGATTTCTCCTGTGACGAGGGCCGAATAGGATTGGGAGCTGAGAAGGAAAGAGTTCGACGGAATCTGCTAACCATATCTTCTTTCTTTGTGACGATGGATGTGTATTTTTCTTCTGGGTTGGATTTATTCGGTGAGGAGGAAACTTGTCCATCGGGGAGTTTATAAAGGGAGAGGGGAGAGAGAGAACAACAGACTGGACTATAATTTGTAAAAAAAAAATGAAAGATGAAACATTTGTTTATTGTGCGCACGAAGGGGTAGAGAGAGGGAGAGAGAAAGTTCGATGGGGTGAATAAGTACAGCTGTAACCGTATATGTGGGCGTAACGGGGGTAGTTTCACGAGGGCTTGTGGTTTGTTTCCTTTCTTGGTGGAGAGAGAGGAGATACCACGTGCGTCTGAGTCGTCACACGCTAACTAGCCTACAACTACAACACCAGGATCTGTAATCTGTTATCTCTCGTTCTCTCTCTCTCCCTCCTTCACTGTTGTTTCTCAGTTTCTGATCTGTTAACGCGGTGGAGATCAATCATGCGAGTACATCAAGACAGAGATAAACGAGTGAAATTAAAGAGCTGTGGATTTGGAACCGTGTACGTACATAGATGCAGAGTGAGATTATGAGTTACAGCTGCCAGTGACCGTTTATTGGTTTAATTAAAATCAATAGGGCATAGGTAATGGTATCCTTTGGATTTAGCAAGATTGTGTGGGGATATTGGAGGCTTTGGAGTGGCTTCCAAGTTCCAACATCAAATCTAATCGTTCATACAGAGATGAATAGAGTGCAGAATGCGGAGAGAGAAAATCACATATTTTTATTATATTATAATAATGTGAAATATCTTATTTATTATAAATCAACTGTTAAAAAATATAAGGGGAAATTCTCAATTAGTATCTACAATTTGGGCCTATAGTCACTTTTGTCTCCAAAATGCGATAATTTAGTAATTAGAACTTTCAAAACATCTCAATTTAATACTCACCCTTTTACTAGTTGTTAATCAATCGTTAAGTAGCATTTGAAAAAATACAAATGTTTTTCGAGTGTCATCTATTTTTTTTTTTTTTATCAATCATTCAAGCGTTGACAAAAAAATGAACAATCATAAATCCTTGCCTCTTTTATTCAAGAAAGTTGGGGTTATCAAAATACCCACTGAAGTGTGGTCCCAACATTCTATAATGAAAGAGGCAAGGATTTGGGATTGTTCATTTTTTATCAACCTTTGGGTGGTTGATAAAGAATATTAGATGACACTTGAAATGCATTTGTGTATTTTCAAATGCATTTTGAAAAGTTCGGGTATTAAATTGTCACGTTTTAAAGTTAAGAGACCAAAATGTCACTAGGCCCAAAGTACAAGGTACTAATCGGGAATTTTCCCAATCCCACGTCAACAACCCTCTCCTCCCGCTCCTCCTTTCTTCTCTCCTTAAACCTCTCTCCTTTTCTCCCTTACCCGGTTACCCCTTCCTAGCCCTTCCATGTAGCCAAGTGGAGCCTTCTCTTCTACGCTAAAGTGCCACTCCAAATCTCTCTCTCATGTTCTCGATCACTTAGCTAACCCCTCATAAAATTTCTCCCAAACTATCTCTCCCACCTAAAATTCTTTCTAAAACACCTCCTAATCTAAATTGCCACGTGGCATCCCTCTCTTCTTCACTAGAGTTCTGCTCCAACTCTCTCTCTCTCTCTCTCTCACATGTTACCAATTAACTCAACCCTCTCCTAAAACTTTCTCCTAAATAATCTCTCCCATCTAAAATTCCTCCTAAAAACAAAAAACGTGGGTAAATTAATTTGTGAAATATTTTTTATATTTTCAATAATTATTGATATTATTGAATATTATTTAGTAAATATCAACACCTAAACTATATTTTTTCGTAACTTTGGTAAATTGAAAATTTTAATTACTAATAATTACTTGCTAAAAATTACTGATTTTGGTGATTTAATTTCAGATTTTTTTGAAAATTAATTATTGAAATGAATAATTAATTAAAATATTAATAAATAAAAAATTAATAATTCAAAATTATTAGTAATTTTTAGCAATAAGTAGTTATTGATATTTTTGGTAATTTTGGTCAATTTATTAATGTTTAATGATATTATCAAACAATAATTAAAAAAGTTCAGTATTTTTTTAGTGGAAAATTAATTTCAATAAATATAAATTTATTTTTTATATTTCAGTAACTTTGATATTTACTATAATTTTTGAGAAATAATTAGTGATTTTGTTATTTAGTGAAACTTAAATTATAAAACTTCCAAATTTTCGAATAAATAATTGGAAAATTTAAATAATTTTCATAAGTAGTAGATACTACATTTATAATTACCATAATTAATGGAACTATATTTATGGGTTTGGGGGATCTTATAGTTTTAGAGGATGATCCCCAAGGTAGGAATGGCAATGGATGGGTTCAAGGCATGGATCATATTTCCCATCCCGACCTCGAGTTTTAAATTAATCCCTGTGAAAAATGTTAGCCTACATCTTCAATCCATGATAGAGAGGGCTTACCCATCAGGGACTTGAATCCCTAAATTTTTAAATAAAAGTTTGTCTTTAGAAATATATTTATCTAAAATAAAGGAAATTTTAAAATGTAAATAATATTTTAAATATATTTTGATATATATAATATAAATAATATAATATATACACATATATTTAATATATATAATTGGGGTTGGGGCGGGCTGTGGACTTCACTCCCCGTCCCCAATTAGGTATTCCTATTAATTTCACCCCCACCCTATCCCTATTAAGGCAATCTCCATTCCATCCCCACTTGATCAGGGAGGTTGGGTACTTGGCAGAGATGAGAAAATTGCCATCCCTACCCCCAGGTTGTGTAGCTCCATAGAACAATAATTTATTATTATTTTTTTTTGCAAATCTTCTTTTTTGCTTCCTCAACTCTCTCTTTCTTTTCTCTTTCCCAACTACCCATTAAGCCAAGCCTCCAAGTGTTTAGTCTATCTTATTAGGCTATGTCATATTTCCTCACAACAATTTAAATCAAATCTTAAAAATCTTCCAAATATCTCTCTCTCTCTCTCTCACTTAACTCATCTTCTCTCCTAAAATTTCTCCTAAACTATCCTCCACTTAAAACTTCCTCCCAAAACATCTCCTTATCTAATCTCACATGCCCGACAAACCATTTAATTAAATTACTAATTAAATACATATACATGTATTTAATTTTTCATCAATGTATTAAAATACTACTGTTTAAGTTAAAACTTTAAGAAAATAATCTAAGTGAAAACTTAAATATTGAAATAAGATAACTAAAAAATATCTAAAATACTAATAAGAGAAAAGAATAGATAATACAACAAGACAATAACAAAAGCAAATAATAAAATTTATTAATTAATTAAAAATATTATTATAATTATTTGCGTTGATGCTAAAATCTATCAAACACTATAGCAAGAAGATGGGTCAAAAAATATAAACATTTAGTTACTGATTTGAACAAATTTTAATTGATTAGCAATGGTAATGGGGTGGGTTTAGGGCATGACACCCCCTTTTTGTCCCCTCCCGAGGTAGGGCATCGACAAGGAACCCTCAATTTTTCCCTGGCCCGAGGCACCACCTAAAAATACATCAAATTTAGGGGTATTCTAGTAATAGGATCATGGGAATTTTGAGGTATTTTAAAAATGAAACTATGGGGATTTGGGGATATTTTAGAAAGGAGATTATGGGATTCTAAGGTTTTGGAAATTTAAAGAAAGATTAGGGACATTTTAAAAATTAATAGTAAACCTAGGGGTATTTTAATAATTAATCACCAGGTTTGGAATGGGTTTGAAGAGTTATATGCCAACCCCCTTCTTGTTTTGGGGCAATAAGGTTTTTCCCATCCCTACTAACTCATCCTCCTTTAGAGATTGAGAAAAAATAGCGATGACAACTTTCACCATAAACTAGGGCCTTGCCCCACCCCACCTACCTCACCCCAAATGGGATGGTTTTTTTTCCTAATCTTAAATGTGAATGGGGAAAATATCTTTACCTCAAATTGGGAATGGGATGGGGACAAGGTTTGCATATAATTCCCTTAACCCAATGGTGAATTATTAAAATATAACTAAGTTTAAAACTAATTTTTAAATAACCATGGAATTCCGGATACTCATCCAAAATTTGATGTATTTTTAACTGATTGCCTTGGGGCAAGGAAAACTCAAGGATTCCCTATCCCCAATGGAGAGGGGCACCTCGCCCCGAACCCACCCCACTACTAGGGATGGGGCTAGACAGTGACAGGGATGGGGTGGGGAAAATCCACCCCAAACCTGCCCCGTTGCCATTACTAGGGAAAATCCACCCCATATGAGGTGGGGAGAGAATTTGGTTTAATGGGGAAAATTGCCATCCCTATTATTGATTCGGTTTGGTTTGCCAAATCTGCAATATAAAGTTTTAGAAAATATGTCTTGAAAATTAATATTAGAAACATTATTAACTAACATGTTTTGTTAAAAGACTAATTTCACTATTAATTAAATTTCAAAAAAAAATCTTATATTTTCAAAAAAATTGTTAAAAATTCACTAATTTTCTTCTATAAATTATGTAAAAACTTAACTAGTAATTTTCTAAAACTACTTTCTATTAACATGAATTGTCCCATTGTCTTATTCTCTTTACCAAAAAATAATTTCTTATAGCTCATTGTGGTGAAGTTTTAGAAGCATTAAGTAGTAGATCAAATGGATTATGTTGTTTCCCAAACTTAGTTTGCTTACAAGGCTTCATTCACATCTCAATAATTCATTTACCAAGGTAAATGCATTTATCTTGGCAAGTGTTTTTTGAGAACAGTTTACGTGAACAAATGCACTTACCAATACTCTTTTATTCCCAATGTAAAGTTGTACAATGACTGTTTTATTCAAAAAAAAAAGAAAAAAGAAAAATAACATTGTTGAACATATTAGCAATTTTCAACTCAGGTGGATTAGTGATTTACTTAAGTCTCAAGAGGATATTACTTGCCCAAGTATACGAGCCACTCAGGAATCATTCTTTTCTATGAGACCCAATAATAATAAAATACAAACACAGGTTATATTTCTTTTCCATAGGACCCACCAATACTTGCCTCCACTTCCCAGAAAATGAAGGAGGCCTA